TCTTCCCCAACATGAGCCTTCATTTCCTCATTTATAACAAGAGTAGCTGAGACTAGATGCTAGTTCTTTTATAGCTCCATTTTTGAGTACCAATGGTACAAGGGCACATTGTTAGGTAAGGCTGAGGTTATCAGAAATGTCTGTTTCATTTGTCTTGACCCTATTAAATCAATTGTCACTAGCCCTTGATTTCCTTCTGGCAGCACAACCACTATTGTCTTTGAGCATTTACTGTGTATCAAACAATGAGCTAAGAACTTTATGTACATTATCTCATTTCATTCTCACTATAATTTATTAGGTACATACTATATTTATATTTATTTTTTTGGGATGTGGAAAAAATGGAACAAAAAGAGATGAAATGATTTACTAAAGTTTTCCAGCTAATTAATGGCAGAGCCAAGATTTAAGCCTATGTTCAGCCTCAATGCTTAAGTTTATATCCACAATATTGTAAAACATTATCTGGGAAGTTTGTGAAGGAAAGGGTCCTGGTCCTTTCTTGAGGTTAGGAAGGTAGGATGATAATGAAATTGTTCTCTCTATGCTACATAGAGGATCCCACTAAAGCTTGGGACCTTTAAAATGCCGTAGTTATAAGACTTTGGCCTGAGGAATCCCCAGCCGAGCACTGGGGCCTCACCTGAAATCTCAACTGGGTGCTGCCTACCTACCTTCGGGAATCCTCTTTTGATTAGGAGCCTTATGACTATTTTGCTCACTTCCTTTATTCTGGTGCTTTGGCTAGTCCATAGAACCTGTGCAGTTTCCCTGGAGGCCAGGGGGTGACTCTTCTCTCTCTCTCTCTTTCCATCTAGGACTACATCTCCAAAGAAGATTTCGCCTCCCCACTGAAGTCCCTGGCCCAGCTTCCTGCAGTGCCACGCTCCGTGTATTTGACAAGCTGAGTTGGACACTCCATGTGGTAGAGTGTCAGTTTGTCAAATACCCCAAGTGCGGCATGTGCCTAGCAGCTCCAAGCCAGCGAAGTTGGTGTACAACAATTAGATGATCAGTGGGATAAAGAACACACAACAAATACCAATTAAGCTCTCACAAGTTATTTTAGATAACTTTGTGAGAATGTAAGCATTGTATCTGAGGTTACCAGTGGAAAAGTCAGACAGCTCTGAGAGCCACAGCCCTGGGTGGTGTCTACATACATTGTGGGAACCTGAAGGGGGGTGGGGTAAGGAGCAGGGTAGCCTTGAAAAGGTATCCAGGGTCCAGGGATGAAAGTGGTACTTGATTCATTATTTTTTCCCTTCACATCCCAGCAAGAAAACCAGAAGTCTCACACAACTATCATGGCAGGACTTAGAAGCCCATTTTTCTGATAGTCAGTCTTAGCTCTAAATGCACTTTGACCTTACCTATCTCTCTCCTTTTTCTCAGGCCTTTTCTCCTGAGAACATGATCCCCATTTCTTTCTGCTTATTCAATTCCTTTCCATATTTCCTTGCCCAGGAAAAATCAAGTTTCTGCAGGGACTTTTGAAAAATAAACCTATACTTTTTTCCTTCATTCTCAAATCACTTCTTGCCTGAGTCCTTCTGTGAACCCCTTTATCTCCTACTTCCCAATAACATTGCTTAAATCATTAATGATCTTTTTCAGAATATATTTTTGAATCCCCCCATTTGGTTTATGACAAAACTGTGTTTCCTTGATTGCTGTATCTCCATTTCATTTCTACCCCACAGGACTCTGGTTACAGAAAATACTCAATAAAGTTTTACTGATTGATCAACTTTCCACTAGTTCATTAGCTTTTGGCCTTTGGAACACCTGCCACCTAGGCATTTTGTGAAGAGAAAAATCCAAGTGTTGTCACTACAATGCTATAGGACATGCAAGGTATAGCTAACATAAATGGGTTTTCTTCCTGATATGTTGGGTCAAGGGCTACAGGAGGATATTTTTAAAAAGTTGGTTTAGAGGGAAAACATGTCTTGGAATTAGTTGGTAACACAAAGTTATACAGGTGACTTGTTTCAGGATATTATAAAGCCTTTAATATTCTAATATTGCACTGGAAATTTCCAAGAGGGAGTTATAGAATGAAGCATTTCCCATACCTATCTGATTGTGCTGATTTTTTGTTTGTTTGTTTGTTTTTGTTTTGCCTGTGGACCATCTCCTGGGTCTACTATTCTATCCCATGGAACAAAACCTGGGAAGCTGCCCTAGAATAACTTTGTACTTTCCCTCTCTTCTGGAGATCTCCTCTTTTTACTTCTCTGCTTTCCCATGACCAGCCATCTACCTAAGATAGATTCTATGTTATCATTCCATTTGTGTTTAGCCTTATCTCGCAGCTTTGGGGTAGCCCTATATCAAAGACTATTTTACTGGCTTATCATGTGTGGGGAAGAATGTTCAGTTTGGGAACACAGATGATCTCCAGAAGTTTCTCTACTACAATGAATATATTCTCCTAGCAGTTCACAGACCTGAATCTGCTCTCTGTTCTACCACTGACTTGATGTGTTTGACTTTAGACAAGTCACTTTCTTTTTGGGCTTCATTTTCTTATCTGTATTATGGGAAACTTAGAATCAATAATCTCTAAGCTCTCCAAGACAAGAGACTCTGAGATATCCTTGGGGGTGCATTGGAGGGAGTGGTGCCTGGATCTGGGGCTTCTTTTACCATGGCACATGCAACAAAGATTCTCTTCTCAACCTCAGTAATTCATTTCTCTAAAGATAGTGGCAATAAATAATGGCTGTTTTTAAAAGCTGTGGGGGTCTGGACACAGAGATGTTTAATGAAGGAAGCTGAGGTTTCCACTGGATTGGTGGGGTGGTGTTTCAGAGGATTGTAAACATGATGTGGAAGAAAAGGTTGCTCCTTTCATGAGCATCTGGAGATGACAAAAACGCTCAAGTTTTTACCATGGACTTGGCAGGTTAGTGGTGGTAAAGTGGAGGACTTCTTGTTCACTTTTGTGTACTATTTTGACTTCTATACTCATCCCAAAGGAGAAGAACTCCTGTTGAAACCTGAGCTGACCTTGACTTTGCATTGGAAACAAGTGGCAACATGTCAGGTTCCATGAATAATGGATAAGTTGATTTAACATGAATTACATGAGAGAGGGAAAGCAGTATTGACCTGTCCCAGAGCAGGTCCTCACAGAGGAGAATGAATTTTTTTAAAATTATCTTTATTCTTAAAAGTTGTACAGATGTCTCCTCTTTTCCCCATTTTGGCCCCTTCTACCCCACTCCAGCCCCTACCAGGCCTTCACCCAACTATTGTCTGTGTCTATTGGTTATGCATACATGCATATAAGTTCTTTCATTGATCTCCCCCCTGCCCTTTTCCTCTGAGGATCCTCAGACTATTGCATGCTTCCATGTCTTGGAATCTATTTCATTCATCAATTTATTTTGTTCATTAGATTCCACATATAAGTGAGATCATGTGATACTTGTCTTCTCTGATTGGCTTGTTTTGCTTAGTATAATAATCCCCAGATCCCCCCATGCTGTCCAGAAGAGACTGATTTAAAGGTATGCACGTGCGCACAAGTACACACACACACACACACACACACACACACACACACACACACACGCACACACATGCACACACACATGCACACACACACATTTTTATTCCCCACTCCTATTTAAGGAGAAATACTTCTTTGCTATGAGCCTCACTCCACATTGTAAGAAGGGACCAGGAGCTAGGGTTGAAGAACACAACTATTCAAAAATTTTTAGGATTACAGGAGATGAAAAACTTGAGGGCGGTGCATCCATACTTTGGAAAGAAGGATAACCCTTTATCTCTATGTTCATAGAATAAAGTTCCCTTTGAAACATCTTGGCAGAACATGTTACTTGTTAGATCAAGGAGTAAGGGAAGGGTGACTTAAGAAGTGCTTTGAGAACCCCATCTGTGAGGAGGCAGCACAAAACCAAATACTGCAGGCTAGCCTGTTCTCTGAATGAAAACTGAAGAGATGGGGAGGGGCCAGCCTGAGAAGAAGATGGACAAGACTGTACAATATGGTGAGAAGCTTAGAGACTATGGAGAATGGTGGCCAATGGGATTTTCCTAAAAACCAACCTGGCTGAGTGATTTAAAAGCAGGAATATCTAATGTTCTTTTAACTAACTGGGTTACTCAAGTAGGACCAAAATATTCCTCCCTCGACCTATCTATACTTCCTATTTAGCATTAAAAAAAGGTCTGCTGTATGCAAAAAAAGGGGGGACTCCTTTTTTCAGGTTTTTAATTGACATGGGAAGATGAAACTGGCAGGACAATTGGGAAGGGGATAATGGAAGGCAGATGAGTACTATTTTACCAAAGAATCATTGTGTTCTAGCTGGGACCACCTTTGAAGTCTGGTAAGAGTGGCATGAATGGAAAGGAAGAAAATAAAAACCAAAGATACTATTGATGCTCTCAGAGCCCCAACCATATCAACTGGTCTCATTTTAATCATTCTCAGTAGGTCCTTGAAAGAAGACCAATACAACTAAGGTTGCTATTATGATTAGATATTTATTTAGGCACCAAAAGAATATCAGAGTAATAGACTTGCAGCGTAAGAGCAGAACTGAACCCTGGCGTGTTATATGACAATCACAATTAAAAACAATTCTGACCTGGGGGAAAAATAAGTGATTATGGACATAACTGATCTTCTGAGCTGGTAGGGCTGAGCTTCCCTCTGGTCTTACAGTGACAAGAGGCCAAAGTTAATTGGTGTCTTAGTGCTATGGGAACTTCCCTCTGGTGCTTGGAGAGAAGCAGCAAAAGCCCCAGGCAGAGATACTGGAAGGGCTCAGAGCCCAATCCAGAAACAGGATTGCATGTGTGCACATGACAACTTCTTAGGGCTTACGCAAAGCCAGTCATACTTAGAAATATGAATGTTGGCAGATAAGACATGTTGGGCTAGCCAGGAAGATAAGGGGACCATGCAGAAAGCAGGGGTTAAAAGATAATCATGTCAGAAAACTAGTAGGGCAGTTTTAGCAGACACTCTTGCCCTTGATAGTCAGGAGCTCATAATCCCGGGGAACTGTGTGCAGCAGATGAGTGTAGTCATCATTTATCTCGGCGATGATCTGGTACTCCTGGTCCAGACAAGGTTCACCGGAGTAGTCATTGCCTGGAGTCCGGGTAGCTGGCTCTTCGCTGGAGCCGCCACTTTCGCAGATGGCCAACCTCATGGTTTCGCCAGAGTTGCTGGTCTCCCTGGCACGCACCCTAGAGCCCACAACCCATAAGAAAGAACTTGAGGCTGGGACCCTGGTTTCCAACCCTTCTGCCTTAATCCTTGTCATCAAGAGATCTGGGAACAGAGTGCTGGTGGACCTGAATTATCCTATGTGTTTGGTGGGTCACAACAGAGCATCAGGAGGTGCTTCAGAAAGGGAAAACTCTGTGCCTTGACTCTGAAGACTTTTGGGCTTAGGATTGTGTCTTTGACAAACCCACTTTCTGCTATATCAGTGACCTACATAATTGAGGGTAAGGAAAGAGTTAGAAGATAGAAGAGGAGAGGCTATCTTACCTGGACACTTCATAGACGTGCTCTAGAAAAGAAGGATAAATCAGGTCAGAATTCTCCAGGGGATATAAATAAGGGCCAAGTATAGACCTTGAGTACCAGTTAAAAGGTGAAGAAAGAGGAGACATAGAGGAGGACCTCAATAAGTTCAGCTTTCCAATAACTGGGAGGTATGGGGAAGGTGAGTTGTAACACAAGGATGTATGTCTTGGCCACTATGTTATTGCTGCAATGAACATAGGGGTGCATATATCTTTGTGAATACATTATTTTGAGTTTTTAGGGTATATACCCAGGAGAGGGATTGTTGGGTCATATGGTTGCTCTATTGTCAATTTTTTGAGGCATCACCAGACTGCTTTTCATAGTGGTTATACCAGTTTAATTCCCACCAGCAGTGGATGAGGGTTTCCTTTTTCCACAACCTCTCCAATGCTTGTTATTGCTTGTCTGGTTGAAAGTGGGACTCTAGCAAGTGTGAAGTGGTATCTCATGGTAGTTTTGATTTCCATTTCCCTAATTGCCAGTGAAGTTGAACATCTTTTCATATATCTATTGGTTGTTCATATGGAAACTCCTCTACAATAGAGGAGTCAATAAAAAAGATGTGGTACATATACACAATGGAATACTATTCAGCCATAAGAAAGGATGAAATAGCACTATTTGCAGCAACATGGATGGACCTTGAGAACATTATGCTAAGTGAAATAAGTCAGTCAAAAAAGTTAAGAACCATATTAACTCATATGTGGCATATAAAACTTAAACTTATGAATACAAAGAGTAGTGTGGTGGTTGCCAGAGAGAAGGGGTTTATAATATACGAAGACAGGAGAAGATCTGACTTTGGGTGGTGGGCACATGATGTGATATAGGGATCTTGTGACAAAGAAACCCACATCTGAAACCTATGTGTTCATATTAACCAATGTTATCTTAATAAATTTAATTTAAAAAAAACACACAGGAATGTAGAATTCTTAGGGAAAGGAAGAGAAAACACAATTGGTAACTGTCCTCTTTGGCATACTCTGACACAGGACATTGGGTTGGAGCAGTTATTTAGTGTGATGGGGAGAGGTACACTGGAACTGAATTCACTTCACACTCAAGAATCTTGCTGAAGATCCCTAGGGAGTCCTGTGGGAAACTTGTCAGCCTGACCAGAGCCTAGACAAAAGGGGCTGAATTAGTCTGTTGTCAAGAACCATGGCTTAACTTAAGCCATTCCCAAAGACACTCACCCTTACCCTGCATCCAGCAAGGGTCCTGAGATAAGTCACTATTGTCCCCTAGGAGGAACATCTATATTCCATGCTGGTTTAAAGGCTCTATAGCCTGGTACAAAGATGAATGTCTCTTGGTATTGTCCTCTAGGGGCATATAATCTTTCAGGGATGCAATCTAGAATGCATGTATTACATCACAACAAATTTAAAGTGGCATGCTGAAGACCACCTTTTGTCATTTGATAGAGCCTTGTATTTCCATGCCTTACCTCCTCCATTGGCCAGATAGCTTTCCTTACTTCAGAAATTGTGTCTATTGCATTTTTATATGCTCAGCACATGGCACATATTATGTACCCAGTAACTACATGTTGAATCTAATGGATACCCCAAGATCATCTCCCTTATAAAGAGATAAAAATCAGGAATTTGGGAAAGGCAATCCAGGAAGGGAAAAATGCATAAATGTGTGAAGTGTATAGCCTAGTTGCTGTTTGAATTCAGTGACTGGAAGTTAACCTTGGTGTAAGGGAGTGGTGGGAATAGAGAAGGTGAACTAGAGTTACATTACAGAGGACTTTTTATTGAAATGCTACATTTTGACTTCTATTCCCTGGGCCACAAGGTTTTTATAAGGGAAAATATCTGATATGATTATAGTTTTTAACCAGTCTCATTGAGACTATGAATTAATATTTTACTTTTAGTACTCCTGGGATTTGTGGCCACTTGAGATATCTCCACTTCCAAATTTAGTCTCATGGTTCATAGCCGTGCTAACTGGCCAAGACCAAAGCTGATACTTAATATTCAGAAAATGGAGATATTCAAAGCTCCCCTTCCTTCTTTGATTGGAGAGAACCAGGTGGAAACCAGGCTATTTGGGATTTGGAACTGCTACAGTGAAATAGACACACTAATGGAAGGTAAAACCGCTAGTGCAGCAGGTATTGAGGTGTAGCTAAATTGTACTTATAAATTAACATCTAAATAATCTTTTCCCATCTCTGTTGGCTCGCAGTTGTAAAATTCCCCTGACAACTGCACCTTAATCATGTCACCTGGGATTTGTGGCCAGTTATGGTTAATTAGCAGGGACTTTCAGAAGAAGGTGGTACTACAACCAGGCCTTGGAGAATGTAAACAATTTGGAAAGGGGTAGTATTTCAGGAAGAAGGAATTATATGAGTAAAGGTATAAAGGCTTAAAAATAACTTAGTGAAGTGGGACTCAAAAGAACTGTTGTCCCAGAAATAAGCTCACTACAGACTGAATCATTTGCCTCTCAGCATAATCATTATGGCTTGTCTCATTTTCAGTTCTTATAAATGTATTTCTTGTATCACATGATCTTATTCATCTAGGGGAAATAATGAACGGCACAAACTGATTAACAAAAACAGACCCAGAGACAGGGAAGCATCTATCAGATTGTTAAACCTCAGAGGGAAGGTAGGGGAGGGTGGGGGAAAGGAGGAGAGGTCAGCCAAAGGATTTGTATGCATGCATATAAGCCTAGCCAATGGACATGGACAACAGGGGGTGGGCATACATGGGGTGGGGTTTTGGATGGGAATGGGGGAGAGGGGATGAGGACAATTATGTGATACTTTAATCAATAAAGAAATTTTAAAAAAAAGAAAATGTATGTATCTAAGCAATGGGAAAATACAGGGAAAAGGGAAAGTTAGTGACAGGTTAAGGAATTTGGACTTTCTTCTCTAGGCCTTGCAAATTCACTAAAAGACACCAAATATTTTAAAGCAAAGGGGTAATATGATTATCAATTAATTATAATCTTTAGCTTTTTTCTTTATTTGTAAACTTTGTGTTAACTTGGATCTTTTTTTTTAATATATTTTATTGATTTTTTACAGAGAGGAAGGGAGAGAGATAGAGAGCTAGAAACGTCGATGAAAGAGAAACATCATCGACCAGCTGCCTCCTGCACACCCCCCACTGGGGATGCGCCCGCAACCAATGTACATGCCCTTGACCGGAATCGAACCTGGGACCTTTCAGTCCGCAAACCGACGCTCTACCACTGAGCCAAACCGGTTTCGGCTTAACTTGGATCTTTTAAAAACATGCTGCCTTTATACTATTAAAGTGATAATTTACAATATTTTATGCAATATTCCAGACAAAATTAATATAGTCAACCCAGTGAAATATTTTGCCAAATTATTAGACTTCATCTCTTTACATTTCAATTGGTTGTATTGGTACTGTGTAAAACTCAACCTAACTGTAATATTGATGATTTCTCAAGGTAATTGTAACCTTGAATTTATGTTCTAAAAAAAAGAACTTTAATGAAGTAAAGACAAAAGGGATAAAATAATTCCTTGTCGCTTGTAAGTAAGCTCTTTTATTGTATTGAACTCCAGGCTTTGACTCCATTGACTTTTATTGCTATGTATCATTATTGATAAACTCCATGCTTCTATATTAAATCCCCTAGATAAATTGTAAGCAAGCTGAGGCCAAAGATTGTGACTTCTCCTTCTCTTTTATCATCAATAGACAATCCATTTCAGAGAAAGCTGTATTAGCCAGGATACCAAAGATTTGTAAATTTGTTTTTGTAAGTTGTATTAGTATTGTTAGCTTGCATGTCTGACTTTATTTACCTCTACCCTCACTCTTAAAATGGGCTGGAAACTCTTTGAGGTGCCTAATATAGTGCCAGAATTTAAACTCAACTTATACTGCCAAAATGAATGAATGACTAAGAGTCACCCAGTCATACACATCACTCACCTTGCTGGGATGTCTTCCGGAAGATCATAATATAAGTCAAGATGAAGACAACTATACAGCACAGGACAATAATGAGAATTATGGCAAAGATAGGCAGGCCCTCTCCTAGAAGGCAAAATAAGACCAAGTGGTATCTGGTTAAAAAAATTTATACAGAAACAGAGACCAAAATAATCAGCCCACACCTATTTATTTTCCATTTTCCATCTTCTAAATTTCTTAGCTAGTCATAAAGACAAACAAAATCCCAGGCCCATGACAAATACTTGAGAGGCTAGATAACCCAGGTATAAACAAGTTCTTCAAAACCCACTGGTTGATGGCTTGATAGGTCTGAGCCATGCTTTCCATGGGGTCAAGACATGAGGTTTTCACCTTCTCTTAAAGAGGAGAAAGTAGTATCCTGACTTACCAGCTTCACAAAAAATGCTACCTTATTGAGATTCTTGTCATTTAATTCTGACCACAAAAATCTTTTCTTCACTCTGGCCAAGAATTCAGGTTTCTTTTTCCTCACATATATTTCCACTGAGTCCCCTGGGTTACCTATTCCAATCATGTATACTAACTGAAGGAAACAAATAGATTTGGCTTTAGGTTCTGGATCTGTTATTTATTTGCTGTATTGTTGATGATAATAAGAATATTGATCCTCCAAAGATGTTCACATCCAAATCCCCAGAATCAGTGTGTTAGTTTATGGCCGAAACCAGTTTGGCTCAATGGATAGAGCGTTGGCTTGGGGATTGAGAGGTCCCGGGTTCGATTCCGGTCAAGGGCATGTACCTTGGTTGCGGGCATATCCCCGGTAGGGGGTGTGCAAGAGGCAGCTGATCGATGATTCTCTCTCATCGATGTTTCTAGCTCTCTATCTCTCTCCCTTCCTCTCTGTACAAAATCAATAAAAACATATTTTAAAAAATACGTTAGTTTATGTTGTAAGGGAGAGTTAAGGTTGCAGATTGATTTAAGGTTGCTAATTAGTTGTTATTAAGATGAAAATATAGCCGAAACTGGTTTGGCTCAGTGGTAGAGCATCGGTCTGTGGACTGAAAGGTCCCAGGTTCGATTCCGGTCAGGAGCATGTACGTTGGTTGCGGGCACAACCCTAGTAGGGGATGTGCAAGAGACAGCTGGTCGATGTTTCTTTCGCATCAACGTTTCTAGCTCTCTATCTCTCTCCCTTCCTCTCTGTAAAAAATCAATAAAATATATTTTTTAAAAAGATGAAAATATAAAGGGAACCGAAAGCCAAGGAATATGGGTAGCCTTTAGAAGCTGGACAAGGCAAAGAAACTGATTCTCCCCCAAAGTCTTCAGAAAGAACACAGCTCTACTGACACCTTGAGTTTAGCTAACTGTATCAAACTTCTGATCTCCATAATTGTATGATAATATATTTGTATTATTTTAAAGCACCAATTTTGGGGTAATTTTTATAGCAGTCATAGAAAAGTAAATATAGTGAGTTTAATAAAATTATTGAGTAGGTCTTGATTTTTCTATAATTTCAATGAAAAGATTGGATGATGTCTAGTATACTGCAGCTACAATATTCTGAATCTAGATTCGATTCTGGTCAAGGGCATGTACCTTGGTTGCGGGCATATCCCCAGTAGGGGGTGTGCAGGAGGCAGCTGATAGATGTTTCACTCTCATCGATGTTTCTAACTCTCTATCCCTCTCATTTCCTCTCTGTAAAAAAATTAATAAAATATTTTTTTTAAAAAACAGGTTTGGGCTATGTCCAGAGACATCCAAGAAACTCTGCAACCAGGAGTGAAAAAGTACAGGAGTATTAAAAAGTCCACCATCAATTATAGGCAGCCAGAGGATGATGTCAGGAGTAATAATCATCAAACTATTTACCACCAATCAATAAAAACAGATGCTTATTATAGAACTGAAGTTTTAGAAGTCTCCTGCAATACTAGGCATCAACATTTTTGTTGAAGAACTCTGAGGTGGTCTGAAGAGTTCTGAGAAACAGAGTAGGGCATCCCAGGTGATAATGGGAAGCTCAGTATTAAAGGGAGCAACAAATCATTAATTAGTAAGAAATTATTTTATTATTTTAACAATCAATTAAGTCATACTATGCACAAGAACTCACTATAATCTCCAGGTGAAATACAAAAGAGTTTCTCATTGGGATTTGGATCTCTGAAATCACGATTCAGAGATTCTTGAAACTTTGGAGGAATCACAAGTCATTTGCAAGCTGCTTAGTGAACCCTGGTGAAAAGCTCCCATTACCTTTATCCAGCTCAATGCTCATCTCTAGAAGATCTGGCTGAGATCATGGACCCATTTCTATTCTTGATTAAAATGTTTGTGAAGTATATTAACAATGAATCAGCTAATAACTCATCTACCAATTTCCTTAACCCCATCTGATTGTTCATCTCTGGATATAACTCTCACCCTCTTCATCCAACCTACCTTCCTCATCTCTAGGGTCTTCAATCATTATCTGAACCAAAGCATTGGTAGCAGAGTTGAATGACATAGAATAATGTATATTGTGAAAAATGTTAGTTGCAAAGTTTAAAGCCAAAAAGGAAGGGTAGAAGTTGTGACATTGCTCTTACCTGGTCCAGTATTGCTCTCCCCAAGGTGGTGATGCACTTCAGTGGTCCAGCTCCAGGATGAGTTCACTGTGGGAATTACTATGACAACAGGGCATTAGGGTAAGAGGGCCTTCTTCTGACCAGGAGCTTGGATGTAGAGACCAACTGCCAAGTTTGGGATCCTTCTCTGGACATCAGTGCTGAACTTCCCAGAATTTGTGACCATATCATTGATCACTAGTACTATGAGGTGAATTACCTTAGTTTATTACTGTTGGTAGGGGAAGAAGGCCCAAAGAGGAAAGGCAACTTATTCAAAGTCACACAGCAAGTGAGATTAGAAGTAGAATAGAAGTAATCAGTTTTCTTTTTTCCCCATGATATTATTCTAACTCTCTTCTTTTTGCTTTAAGAGTTTTCACAAACATATATATATCTCCATGGTTCCACTTCTTTATAATCCTTAAATTCTTCCTATTTTTATTCAAATTACATTATTACCTTGTTCTCTTCCTATCTTTCCTTTATTTCAATTACATTATAACCCAGTGACCTCTTATTAGCCCATCTAATGGCACAGGGCCTTGTCCCTTGGCGATCATGACACCATTTCAGATCTCTAATAGTGCAAAATAACCGTATTAAAACTTACTTTCTGAAGAAAATTGCATGGTTGTAGGTGCCTCAGTCATGGTTTTGTGTGGCTTTGAGGAGTCTGCAAAAAAAAGGGGGGGGGCCCTCAGTCATTGTTCCTGATATTCTTGAGTTAACAGTTTAATGACCTAGGAAAATTGGGATTTAAGTAAAGGTCAGTTATGTTAATACATGGACCTGTCTTAATACTTCTCTAATGATGCTGAAAAGTTGTATGTTACCTGTTTACAATTAAAATCATTCTAAGGCAAAATTATTAACCCCAAGTTCATAGACACACACACACACACAAAATGTATAGGTAGAGTCCATAGTGTCTTTCAACTTGTATGGGGAAAACATTTTTTACTAACTTTGAACAAACATTTTGCTGTTCATTCTCTTGAGAGAAATTTAGAAAATATCACAAAGAAGGTAGCTCTGGGTGATATCAGTGGAAATAGTAGAGTAATGACTTTTGACTATTCACCTATTCACAAAAACAATAAAATAACACAATTTTTTTTATCATCTTATTTTTTCAGAATTTGAGATATTAACCAATGGTTTGTATCAACCTAGGGAGCATTTATGGAAGAAAAATACCCCAGTCTTTATAAAAACTTGCACAGTTCATGGTATTCTAACTTAATCCAGCCACATTACCTCACAACAGTCCAGTACTAGCCTTGACATTAAACCCAATTTTAGGTGCTGAAGTAAGCATAACATTTAATTCCAAATAAAATTGTTATTATTTGACTTGTGTTTCACTTTCCTGAAAGACCTGATTCAAAAGGCTTACCCAACATAACTCAACATAATAAAAGCCATATATGACAAACCCACCACCAACATCATACTCAATGGACAAAAACTAAAACCATTTCTCCTAAGAACAGGAACAAGAGAGGGATGCACACTCTCACCACTCCTGTTCAATATAGTACTGGAAGTACTAGCCATTGTGATAAGACAAGAAGAATAAATAAAAGACATCCAAACTGGAAAAGAAGGAAAACTGTCCTTATTCACAGATGACATGATACTGTACATAGAAAACCTTAAAGACTCCATCAAAATATTATTAGACTTAATAAATGAATTTGGCAATGTAGCAGGATACAAAATTAACACCAAGAAACATATGGCATTTCTATACATCAATAATGAACTTACAGAAAAAGAGACTAAAAAAGCAATCCCATTTACCATTGCACCAAAAAAAATTAAGATATTTAGGAATAAACTTAACTAAGGAAGTAAAAGACCTATACGTGGAAAACTATAGGACACTGAAAAAAAGGAGATAGGGGAAGACATAAACAGTTAGGGGTGATCAGACCTGCAGGGGAGGACAGTTAAAGGCAAATAGGCTGGCAGGGGAGCAGTTAGGCATCAATCAGGCTGGCAGGGGAGTGGTTAAGGGGTGATCAGGCTGGCAGACAGAAGCAGTGAGGGGCAATCAGGAAGACAGGCAGGCAAGCAGTTGGTAGCCAGAAGTCCTGGATTGTGTGAGGGATGTCCGATTGCCTGCCTAAACGGGCAGTCGGACATCCCTCAAAGGGTCCCATATTGGAAAGGGTGCAGGCTGGGCTGAGGAACACTATCCTCCCCTCCCCTGTGCATGAATTTCATGCACCAGTTCTCTAGTATTAATATAAATAATAACTGGGAGAGTTTATTGCCACCAGATCTGCTTTATGAAAAATTTTAAAGGACATTATTCAGGCTGAAATGGAAGGGTACTAGATAGTTACCTGAATCAAAGTGAAGAAATAAAGCAGTAGTAAAGGTAAATTTTCAGCACAAAGAAATTATAAATGTATTTTTGTTTGTAACATTTTTTTTCTACCTGCTTTAAAACACAACCACAGAAAGCAATAATTATAAACCTATACTGATGTGATCATAATGTATAAAATGTAATTTGTTACAATAATAGCATAAGAAGAGGAAGACTATAGCTATATAGAAACACAAACTTTATAAATTATTGAAATTAAATTGGTATAATCCAAAATAGATTAAAGTAAATTAATAATTAATGGTAGTCCTTAGGGCAGCCACCAAGAAAATAACTAAAAATATATGGTATGAGAAACAAAAAGGAAATTGCAAGGTACACTAGAAAATATATATTTAACACCAAAGACAGCAATAAAGAAAAAATAGAGGAATAATAAAGACAAGATATAAAAATTAACTAATTTCAAACAAATCTTACCTTATTAGCAATTACATTAAATGTAAATAGATTAAATTATTAAATTTAAAAGCAAAGATTGGGAAAATAGTTAAGAGAACATAAATTATTTTTTTTATTTGCCCAAATGATTTTCCTCTGTTTTGACACCATGTATGTTTTTCATGGGTATCTTTCAATTAGCATTTTAGATAAAAGTTAATTTTCTAAAGTACAAATTTTCTAGAAGTAATTTACTTGCAGGATATTTTTCCTTACATGATATTTTCCCACTATCACCTCCTTTTTAAATTTAAATATTAGGAGGCTTTTGGACATTTTATAATATAGTCTTAATAGCTTTTACATTTTTTATATATTTTATTGATTTTTTACAGAGAGGAAGGGAGAGGGAGTTAGAAACGTCGATGAGAGAGAAACATCGACCAGCTGCCTCTTGCACACCCCCTACCGGGGATGTGCCTGCAACCAATGTATATGCCCTCGATCAGAATTGAACCTGGGACCTTTCAGCCCGCAGACCAATGCTCTTACCACTGAGCCAAACCGGTTTCAGCAGCTTTTACATTTTAATTATTTGTTCTAAAATATGACGGCTTTAAGTACATTACATGTTATGCAATTTTACCATGAGATGAACTGTCAAGTCAAATTTATAAAAAAATATCCTTTTATTAACTTTTGGTCGAGAATATGTTTATATATTTTCAGAAAACAACTCCAAGACCATGTGGATTCCTGCAACAGAGGAATTCACAGGAGTGCCCCAGCCATGAAGACAGAAGAGAATCAGTCCAGAGATGGCAGACGCTGAGAACGCCTTGCCATACTAGCAGACAGCAGCTGTGCATCGCTGAAGGACACCCAGCACTAAACCAGGGACAGTCGGACCTGCATCAACACCATTTGTCAACCAACCAGATCTGAAATACTATGGCTGACACATAAGGAACTGCTTGACATTGAAATTGGGACTCAAAAGAACTGTTGGCCCAGAAAGGAACTCACTATAGATTGATTCATTTGCCTCTCAGCACAACCATTATGCCTTGTCTCAGTTTCGGTCCTTATAAGGGAATTCCTTATATCACATGATGTAACACATCTAGGGGAAATAATGAACAACATAAATTGATAAACAGCCGAAACCGGTTTGGCTCAGTGGATAGAGCGTCGGCCTGCGGACTGAAAGGTCCCAGGTTCGATTCCAGTCAAGGGCAAGTACCTTGGTTGCGGGCACATCCCCAGTGGGGGTGTGTGCAAGAGGCAGCTGGTTGATGACTCTCATCGATGTTTCTAACTCTCTATCTCCCTTAATTCCTCTCTGTGTAAAATCAATAAAATATAATTTAAAAAAATAAATTGATAAACAGAAACAGACCTGGAGACAGAGAAGCAGTGATCAGACTGTCAAACCTCAGAGGGAAGGTAGGGGAGAGTGGGGGCAAAAAGGAGAGATCAACCAAAGGACTTGCGTGCATGCATAGAAGCCTAATCAGTGATCATGGACAACAGGGGTGGGCATACATGGGGAGGGGTTTGGGATGGGAATGGGGGGATGAGGGCAATTATGTGATACCATAATCAATAAGGAAATTTTAAAAAATAATAATAATATAAATAAATAAATAAATAAATAAATAAAAATAAAAGAACAAATTATATGCCATGTATATTTAGGATTTAAAAATGCAAATGGACTGAAAATAAAGGATGGAAATAACAAGTGTTGTAGAGGTTGTGGGAAAAAGGGAATCCTTATTCACTACTATTGGGAATATAGACTGGTATAATAACTATGGAAAGCAGTCTTTCAATTCCTCAAAAAAGTTAATAATAGAGCTACCATATGATCTAGCAATCCAACTACTTGGTAGATTCCTAAAAAAAAACAAAAACTATAAATCATGTATTTTCAAAGACATATGTACTCCTATGTTCTTTGCAGAATTGTTTTCAGTGGCCAAGACTAGAAATAAGCAGTGCTCCATTGTAGAGAGCACCTGGGAAGTCACATGAGAATTTCTTTAATTATTGTCAGCTGAATCCAGTGGTGTTGACAGAGACATGTCCTGGAAACACACCTTGCCAGAGGCAGGTGTGTTATTAGCCTGACCTTCAGCTCAGGTGCCAGGTGGTGGGTTTCATTATCTAAATCCAGCCAAGCACTAGGAACAAACACGATTATCTGGGCCTACCCACAAGTAATTATTACAAAGAAGCCACAGAATGCACATAATCTCCTTTGTCTCGGGCTTTAGTAAAACTTTCTGGCATTTTGCTGTATAAAATAAACACACTGTATCAGCTCTGGGTCATTGTTTCTCCATCAGAGGACAGCTGTCCCACCCAGCTCCAGCTCTTTCATTCTATCTCTGAGTCTCTTTCTTTCAATTTCTCAATCCTCAGCAGCCCCTACTCAGAAACTGGATCGCTCTCTAGCTGTGCTGGATGCGGAAAAGAGAGAAATATGTACATCCCATAATAGAGGACTGGATAAAGAAGATGTAATAATACATATACATAATGGGTTACCACACATCCATAAGAAAGAATTAAATAGCACCATTTGCAACAACATGGATGGACCTTGAGAATATTATGCTAAGTGAAATAAGACAGTCAGAAAACCTCATATGTATGATATATAACTGAAATTCGTGAACACAAAAAGCAGTGTGGTGGTTGCCAGAGAGAAGGAAGTGGGATAAGAAGAGGGTCCTAATATAAGGAGACAGGAGAAGATTTGACTTTGGGTGGTGGGCACATGGTGCAAACCACAACTACTGAGAAAACCAAAGGAGCAGAGAGAGCAATAAGGCCATAGAGGCTATCATATATTAAGGCTTGGTACAGAATCAGGAGCATGAGGTAGT